CGGCATTGACTGGCAGATGGGATTCGGAGGAGGCCCAGTCTGTGCGATCTAATTGGTCGAACAATAGTTTGTAATGGATAAACCAATGGACCAATTGTAGTACTAAATTATAATTTTATTCATGAAAAATTTAAGATTATAATGAAAATTCATAAAAGGTTATTTTAATTAGCTGCCGAACTTACTTTTTTGAGTGTGGAAATCATTTCTGCATGCTTCTGAGCTTGTTGCATTGTAACTTGAAGTGATGCAAGTTCATCCAAAGCCTCAATGCATCTGTTCACATCCTATAACAGCATTTGAAGTTTCATTTCTTAGGGGGGGAAAACTCACTACTGCTACAAATTTAGCAAGACATAATTAAATATATGCATGAGTTTAATATAATTTTACAGGAGAAACAATTAAATGATTTTATTATTCACTGAAGTTTTAAAATATAATTATATTTTACTCTACTTTAGTATCAGTATAGTATCTCAAGTCTCTGAGAGTTGTAGTAGTAACAGATTGTATAAATATGCAAGTGGGTCTAAAATGGTTCAAAAATCGTACAAAAAAATGAAATAAATTATGTATGAAGTAAATAGCTTTGTGACAAAATTTGCAACTTTGTTTTTCTCATTACAAAATGGAGTCAATATAACATACATACAAGATGATCAATCTGGAGTGAATTCTTTATTTCTGCATGTATCCTTTGGAGCCGAGAATCCATTGACGTCTCTAAATGTTTTTTAAAAAGTTAAGGGATAAGTATTTTGAATATTTTAAAGTAAATGGCAGAATATTTATCAAAAGGGATGAACCAATAAAATTATTTGAATTATAATCAAAATAATGTTGTATGCATATGGCTGAAACGTAGGGAATGCTGTTTGCTTACAGAGAAAATAAAACTGTTTTAATAAAACCAACTGTCCAAAGCAACACTACTTATGTTATCTACATATAGAAGAAAGAATAAGTAGATAACTAAGCTATACGAGAGGATGCCGAAGAGTATAATAATAAAGATCCTGCAATGTTATTTTATAGCTCACTTTTTCTTTGGGATCTAATGCAGAACACATATCATCCTCTTCTTGCAGTATTTTCCTACAGCAAGAACTTGGGAAGTATGTTGGGCTGAGAAGTGTTAACTATCTGAAGAGGAACTGGTCCTTAACAATTTCAGAGCTTAATCTACAAAGCACAGCAAACACTATGCAATATACAAACAGGAAGAGCAAATCTTGACCACTATTGCAGCTTTCATGACATAAAGCAAATTTATCCTACTAGGCAGAAATTAAGAAATGGAAATGGCATATAGATAGATAGATAGATAGATAGATAGATAGATAGATAGATAGATAGATAGATATAGATAAAGAGAGAGAGAGAGAGGGAGAGGGAGAGAGACCATCCAGACAGATTTATCAGCACAAATACAACACAAATGTAACAAAGGCAACAGTAAAAATATTGGGTTTCTGTCTGGATGGTCTCTTGTGACAAGCCGATAGACANTTTAATTTCGTTGTATTTAAGTACAATGACAATAAAGATTATACTAAGGTAACTGTTCCGTGCGCCTTTGGCATTTAGCATGACCATGGAGACATCTTTGGACAGCACTGGTTGTTTGGCTTTGAATTGGAGATGAGCACCACCCCCTAGAATCGGGAACGACTAGCACATATGTGCAAGGAGAACCTTTATTTTTACCTAGTTTCAAACTAAAGCAAAGAGTTCCAGGAGTTTCAGCAGCAGAGGATTGCCATCTGCTCCTTTTCCGAATGTTGCATTTCTAGACTTCATATTTCATGTTTTGAATACATTCTAGCCTAAAAAGCATTTCACTAACACTATATGATAGTGTGTTTCTAAATTGTCCATATCATTTTAAGTTAGGATAATGGGATTTTTTTTTAAAAAAAACCCTGCTACTGTGATTCTAGAATTTCTAGAAACCTCCTTCCACCTCTGCACTTTTCTATCCAAATCTATGATTTCCTTGGTTTGCAAAATGTAATAAAACAGTTTATAGCATTTCTTTGCAATAAAAGCTCTGCTTGGGCAGTCCCCAGGCAGAGAGAAAGAGATTTCCCAGAAAACGTAGACGCAGAATATTTTCCCATGGAAATGGGTATGAGTCATATCAGCACATCCTCAGAGTTCATAGTTTTCATACACAGGTTTTTGG